CAAGGCAGCTACAGGCTGGCACAGTGCCCTGGAGCGCTGCAGAGGTGAGTGATCCCGGGGCACTTTGCCTTCTATTGCCGGACTTTTCCTGCAAACCATTGAAAAGCCCAGCTGTTCCTGTTACCAACCTGACCACAGTGTGGAGATCATGGAAATTCAAACTTTTGAGGTTTGCTGTCAGTCTTTGGCATTTTGGTTGGCTGAAGCAGGTTGCATTGATGCCGAGAGGTCCAGTATGGCACAGTGGAGGGATGAGCTCCGCATTGGCTTGGCCAAACCAGTATATGGGATTTGCCTGGGGAAGAGATTGAGGCACTGTGGTTTTGTGCTGTTCAGGCTAGAATCACAAACGCGTCTTTTGGGAAGATGTCCTATTGCCAAAATGAAAGCAGGGGAGGAGGAAGTTTCCCTCCTTCTCTAAGGGACGTGGCCAGCAGCAGTGTTTGTGTTCAAAGACATCTGGGGAGCTCACAGGGCTGCTCTGGCGCCCTCATCTGTCTCCAGCAGGGATGGAAATGAGGTCTGGTGGTGGAGGATGCTCCCATTCCCAAGGGTGCTGGTGGGGTCATAGGCTGGCAAGCATGGGAAAATTGTTGGATTTACCCCTCTCCCAGCACTCTGCATCCATGAAGAGGACTTACACAAAGCCTGAGGCCATGGTGGTAACTGAGGTTTGGGGTTTTTTTTTCCCTCTCTTCTTAATTTTCAGAGTATTTCTGCAGGTAGTAAAGGTGTGTGGTTCATTGGACAGTTTCCAGGGAAGAGTTCTGGGAACTCGTTCTTGCTTGCCTGGAGCTCACAGTCTCATACTCAGGGTGCTGCTCCCACCTTCAGCACCCTGTCCTGGCTTGGGCAGCCCTCTTTTATTGGGCAGCTTCTATTTCACTCACTTGCAAGTGATGGACAGGGTGATTAGGGATGAGTGACGCCACCCAGGTCACCTGAGGGAGGTGGGGGGGAAGGGTAGCAACACCCATCACCTCTTGTGCAAGCAGTGGCACAGCATCCGATCATCCGCCATCTCTCGTGGTGCTGGGAACTAAGGTGGGGACGTCACAGGGACGTGCCTGGGCAGGGAGGCAGTTTTGGAGATGGAACAGGAACCCCGAGAGGCTGTTCTTTGCTCATAGGGTTCCTGCCTGGCCCGTCAGTGCCAGTGGGACAGATGTGGTGTTTGTGACCAGGTGTCACCCTGCCCCATTGGCTGCCCCATCGCTCTATGTCCTGGTCCCTGGCATGGAGGATGCGGCAGCTGGGGTCAGGCTGGGGCTCTGTTGCAATGGAGACTGTCTAGTGTCCCATCCTGATGCTTGGATGCAGCTCCTTGTCTGGGATTCTTCGCAACAGCTGAATGGCCCGTGAGGGAGCAGCTTGAAGGGAGAGATACGCGGTCTGTGGTTTGACTCTAGATATATTTGCAAGAAGGATCTGTTTTTCCAGCTCTGCTTGGAGGTTACTTAAATATCTTGAGAGAAGGGGAAGGTGTTGCTGCTCACTGTGCTGGGTTTCATATCTCATGATGGAGATGACTCAGGGTGAACTGAGGGGGCTGCAAGGAGACAGAGACAGAGCTCAGCAGGAGCCACCCATCATCCTAGTGGGAATTGAAATAGAAGGGGTTTCAGCCACACTTCCAAGGAAATCCTCATCCAGAAATTGTTGAGTGTTCATCCTTCTGCTCCTTCCAAGAGCCATCATGTAGGAGAGAAACAAGTCTCCTTGGCCTGGACCTTCAGAGACATGTGCCAGGAAGAGCATCGTACCTGAGACTGCTTGATTATCTTTGCTTCCAGCCCCGAACAGGCTTTCGGGTTCTGCCTGTGCTGTTGCAGGTTTCCATGTGTTCAGAGAGTGAGGGGACAGACACCCAGCTGCCCCATTGCCCTTCTGAATATGTCCATCCCACCCAGAGACCCCATCTTCGACCCCATGGGCAGTGAGACCAGTGCCCATGACAGGGAAAGGAACATCCCGACATGGGGCTGTGGCCAGTCCCTGTCCCTTCCCAAGCCTCGTGCCCCTCACTGGGATTGCCCAGCCTGGATGAGAGGCTGCAGGTCCACCCCTTCTCTCTTGTTTCCCAGACCCCAAGTGCCCCTTCTAGGCTGCCCTGATCCCTGTGTTGCAGCTGCTGTAGCAGAGGAATGCAGGAGGGTCTGAGTGGGTCCCCTGATAAGAACGGAGGAAAGGGGGAGGACATCACTCCCCATCTTGCATCTACGTTAGAGATGTTGGCTCTCCACAGAAGAGCAACTGGGGTTGCCAGGTCCCGGGCTGCCTCTCCAGCCTCATCTCTGAGGACCTCACTCACCCTACAGAGCTCTGCTGCCCCAGCATGAATGTTGGGAAGTGCACTAGCCCTTGGGACACATCTCATCAGGGATTTTTACTGTACCAGCATGGGGAACCTTGTCCCCGCAGATAACAGCCATTACTGCCAGTGTGACATAACTATCAGTGAGCTGAACTTTCCCAGGCTTTGCTGAGGCTTGTTAATGATGCACTGTGTGGTAATTAGCACTTTCATCCCAGGCTGCAACTGAGAGAGAAGCTTTCTCTTGTAATCCCTGTTGTCAGAGACCTAATTAAGGTGATACACATTTTTCCATGGTACTCCTAGGTCTAATGTCTCTCTGCCAGCCTTGAAATTAATGCACAGAGCAATGCTACCCTGTCTCGGACTGGTCTGTGTCAGAGCACACACAAGCACTCTGCACCCCGTGCCCCTGCTGTGGGTAGAAGATCATTTGAACATCTGTTTCTTCCATCCAGGCAAAAAGAGACAATAACACACGGTGTAGTAAAAAATTGTCCATCTGTCTGAAAAGCAGTAGAAGGAGCTGAGGGCTGGTCTGCAGTGCATGGGCAGAAATATCATAAGATAAATTACAACCAACTGCTTGCTTAATATTAAAAAAACCCAAACCCATAAAGCCAAGGCAGTCTGCAAGCAGAGATAGAGTTGCCTTAGCTTATGTGCAACAAACAGTTCAATCCAGCTGGAACTAGCGCAGATTTTTGTAGGACTTGTGGAACCAGATTCCAACAGATTTTGATCTTACAAGATGCCCTCACTGTCCCAGATCCCCCAAGGACCTCTTATAAACTCAGACTCTCTCCACTTGGACCACCTCCTGCTGGGGATGCGCTTGCAGATCTTTGAGCAGGAGGACGAATGTTAGGGTGGAAGATACCCAAGACAGATCTGAGATTGGCCAGGTCTCCTGTGCACGTTCTATGCCAGGGCTTGTGGGTTGGGGTGCAGATCTCTTCCCACCCAGTGGTCCTGTTCCATCAAGCATCACCTTGAGATAGTCTCTTGCAGTTGCTGGCAGTCCTGCTGTGATTGAGAGGTTGAACTAGAGATGTTCAGAGGCCCTCCCGCTAGCACTTATACGAGTCTGGCGGCCCTCTTCCTCCTGCTGTAGTCTCACAGACCTCTTGGAAGAGCTGGTTCCCTAAAACCTCTTAGGTCACGTGTCTCCCATCCTTCCAGAGAACAGGTACATGGCAGGTGAGGAAGCTGACCCTTTATGAAAGGACGTGGTCTTTGAGGTCTAGCGCTGCCACCTGGATGTTCCCAGGCAAGGGGAACAGAGTCCACCATGGCCTAAGTCTCAGATGTGTATTTCCACGAGTCCTCCTGCCCTGCTGGGAGCTCCCTTAGCCCTTTCCTTCCCATGGTGCTTGTGTCCAGGTCCTGGAGTAGGTTGCTGCCCTCTACACCAGCAGCATGGCCAGGCTGGAGCTGCTCCCTGAGGCCATGCTGGATGCTGGTGGCTCCCTCATCAGTGCCACCACCCTGGACCAGTTTGTGCAACAGGTTTAGGCATGAAAACACCCAGAACCAGTACAGAGTGCCTCCTGGAGGCGAAGGTCTTCCCTGGCACATCAGAGGGTGGGGGATACAGGACCACAGGCATACAGAAAGCTG